TTTCACAATTGTATCGCCTTTGCGAGATGATGGATTGTTTGAGGAGTACTTGCATTATCAGAATTAAGCTGTCAAATTTTGAACTGATTTCTGATCTACTTACAGGGAGTAATGCGCAAGATCTGTCTGCCAGCATTGAGTAGTGCCCCGTCTTCTGTGGTGATTCCGTTCTACGCACAACACATCGACAGTATCACCAAAGGACTAGAGGCTCCAAAGGTATGGCTTTTAGCAGTTCGGTATATTTATTGGAAAGAATATATATATATATATTCAATATATATATATATAAATATGTGTATATATATATATATATACGCTTTTCTTTATATTCACACACACTCGTCCCTCCTGTTCTGTGCCCATTCCTAAACCCATTGTACACAGACGAGTCTCAAGCCGAAGCCGTATACGCAGCGCTACGAGCTACGTTCTATCAACTTCCAACTGATAGAGACGCTCTACGTCAACACAGCCACGCCCGTCTATGTGAGTGCGTCGGAGAGCGCTATAGTGGCCGCCTACTTTCAACACAACCAAGCCCAGATGCCAAAAGATGCTACTGCTTCTGGGAAGAAATTGGCTGTGATTATCAATAAGGGTGTGTTGTATCTTGTGGGTTTGTGTTGGTATGGTAGGAGAAAGTGTTATATGTAAGAATGAAATTTTGTTGTTTTTGAATATATTGTTTATGTACATACATAACGGATATGATTTGGTAGCTAGTAGGTATATATAAACAACTAGCATGTATCTATGATATGGCGATTAGAATGTGTATATTCAATGTTATTTTTTTATGATTTGATATTTAGTAGGTATATATAACAACTAGCATGTATATATGATATAGTGATTAGGGAATATATATAATAATACTATACCACTCAATAAGCTTGGCCAGCTAATGCGGAGATGCGGAATGGCCATCTGATAGTCACAACCGGCCCTCTCCGTTGCATGATGCGTGTAGTATGCTGGTAGGTATATTTTATATCTACTGTAATTTAATACCGTGTCTCTGTATTTACACACCTGATATATATAGACATATATTAATAGATACATATGTAACATAACATCTCCAACATAAACATTTTTATAACATCTTAACTCAGCCGCCCAGCTAGCAATCACGGAGAAGCCAAGTGACCATTTAACGTCTACGGGAGACGCTCCGAATGCACACACAACCTTTATCCATTGCGTGCGGTGTGCATACGCCACGCGAATTGCATTGCTCGTACGTACACAGACTCTGCGCAAGCCATTTCTCAATGTGTTTGACAGGTAAGGTTCTTCTTTAGTGTTTGGTTGTCTACAGCCCCATTTCCTTATTGCCCGAACCATACTTGTAGCGTCTATGAAACACTTGACTTTCTCACTCGCTCGGTTTACCTCTCTAGTGTACCGAACATTCTGGTTGGGCGTGTGGACGAACCAGTCATAGAGTTTGCGGTCGAACTGGACCAAGCAGTCCGTCGAGTGCAAATCAAGGCACTCAAGAACACCACAGCGCGACAGATAACTGGCAACAGGTATATACAAATATATATATAT